TAAATACTTAGTAGTTCAAAGAATATCAACGTAAGTAAGTATAAGGCCAGACAGCATAATAGAAGAAAACCACAAATATGAAGTGTGCTGGCAAGGAGAACTGGGATTGGATTATCTGTTGAGAAAAACAGGAACCAGGGGCGCCTGGTGGCTCGGTCAGTTAAGCATCTGCCTCCGGCTCAGGTCATGATCCCGGGGTCCTGAGATGAAGTCCTGCATTGGGCTCCCTGCTCGGCGGGGAGTCTGCTTCTCCCTCTGCCTCTGCCTCTGCCTGCCGCTTTGCCTATTTGTGCTCTCTGTCAAATAAATAAATAAAAATCTTAAAAAAAAAAAAAAAAGAAAAAAAGCCACACCAATGTATAGTATGTGAGAATACCCAACACTGGATATTATCTGTCTTTTACATGTTTTACCAATCAAATGGCCAAAAACAGAGATCTCATTTTCACTTGTATTTTCCTATTTCCTAGTGAAGCTGCATACATTTTTCTAATGTATTTGCCAGTTCTGTATCTTCCCCTGAATTATCTGTTGATATCTGTTATGTTTCTTTTGGGCTATTTCTCTTTTTTCATAATGTTAAAAGATTTAAGATTAACCTTTTATTTGGTATGTTACAAACGCTCTACCTCAGTCTTTAATTTCAGAAAGCCAGATCTGACAGAATTTTTCTATAAGGACTAGGAAAATATAGCTATAAGGGTCTTCCTTATCCAAAGGTTTTGAAGTATTCTGCCATGTTTCCTTCCTGTGCTTTTATAGTTTCATGTACATCTGCTGTGTTAACCAGTTTACTATTTATGTGTGATGTGAGGGATTTACCTTTCCTGTTTTTCTTTCTTTCTTTCTTTCTTTCTTTCTTTCTTTCTTTTTAGATTTTATTTATTTATTTATTTGAGAGAGAAGGAGCACAAACAGGGTGGGGGAAGCAGCAGAGGGAGAGGGAGAAGCAGACTCCCCGTGGAGCAGGGAGCCCGATGCGGGATTCGATCCTGGGACTCTGGGATCATGACCTGAGCTGAAGGCAGACACTTAACTGAGCCACCCAGGCGCCCCTGGTTCCTGTTTTTCTAAACAGATAATCTAATCCCAGTTCTCACCAGCACACTTCATATTTACAGTTTTCTTCCATTACACTGGCATATACCTGCATACCTTGATATTCTTTGAACGTATTCAACAAGTCTTTACTATCCTGGACTTCTGGGGCAGAGAAAAAAGATCCCTTTCCTAGAAAATTGAGTGTCTTTGTTAATATAAAACATGAGATGGAATACAAGCTTTTTTTGAATGGTGAGGCTGTGTGTTCATATAGCAGATCACATTAGCAGAGTGTTTACAGGATCGTGACCCGGCCATTACCAGGATCAACTCTGTTCTGTGCTGTTTGTGTAGTGTGGTGTGGTAAGCAGCAGGTGCGTCCTTCAGCCCTGCACCCCGGGTTCTAGTCCCCACTCAGGAACTCAGTAGTTGGTTGACTTGACTTTGATGGTCTCCATGAGCACTTGGAGACAGTGACAACCCCTGATGGTGTCCTTGCGTTATATGGGAGACCACTTAACCTTCTGTCTCTTGTTCCTTGGTTTTTCAGCCTGAGAGACACTCTGGCAAGTTACATGGAAACCAAAAACAGTGAAATTCTTCCTGAGCTGGAATTCCAGTTCCCAGAGAAGATACTGTTGTGCAGTTGTGTCCCCGTGTGGAGCCTGGCTGCTGAGCTGAAACGGGGTCGGCAAGTGAGGTAGAGTCTGCTCTGCGCGCCTCTGCCACCACCCCAGCTGGGGCTTCCTAGGGGGCTGCAGGACCCCCGTGTGCTGTGCCACGGAGAGCTGGGAGTGCCACGCTGCTTCAGGAAACGTGCACATTCTACATCTTTCTCATCAGATTGTGAGTGCTGTCCAGGGGGAGGGGATAACTGGAGATGCCGTGAAAACGGAACCAACCACCTTTCAATTCCGAGAGGGTACCAAACACGTGCTCCTCAGCTTCCCATGACAGCAGTGGGCGGTGCCTTCAGCTCGCCAGCTGGAGACTGGCACGCACTCACCTTGGCCCCTCTCTCTCCAGAACGAGAGGGGAAACGGGGCTGTTGATTTTGCTTCTGTTTTCCTTCTCATTTATTCCGCACTCATAGAGGAGAACCCGGCTTGTTTCTTCCTTCCAATCCCTTCCTTCCAATCTCCAGAGTCCCGTGTATTGTACACATATTTGTGGGTTTCCATGAAGGCCTGAGAAAGTGCCAGACGCTTTTTTGTCTCCTCCCAAATACAAGTCAGCATGTTCTGTGAATGCCTTGAGGCCAAACCTCCCCCCCCCCCCCCGCCCCCCCCCCCCCCCGGAGTTTCACGGGTCACAGCTTTCCTCGTTGACACAATCAAGAGACTGGCTTGATGGCCAGATTTGCTTCTGATTCTTGGGGTTTTAACATTTTAAATGAAAGTTTATCAATTAACCTTGGATCAAAGGCAGGGTTCTGGCATTTTCCTGCGAACTTTTGGACTGTCCAGCATCATGCTAAATAAATGTGTGGTCTTGATGTGACCTCGATGTCCCGCACATGTGACTATCTTGTTCTTCCTCTGGGTCTCGGCCATGCCATAAAAACAGACTCAGAATACAGAACCAGCTAAGTTTCTGAAAAAGGAGAAGACAGTAGTCGACCAGCTCTGATCGTGTACCTCTTTTCTCACTGGGAGGTTGTGCCTCTTTTGCACAATGCCCTCGGATACTTGTGGCCTCTGGACTGACTCCTGCTCCCAGGTGGCTCAGCACCCATTAGCACGGAGATGCCTACTGTTCACAAGTCAGAGGCGGATGTCTTCAGTGTACATTCGGAATGAGTGAATGACTCAGTCAACTTGAAATCAGGCCCTCGGGGTGAGAGCTACAGGAACAGAAAACACTTCCAGGACCGCTGTCACCCTGCGGCCACAGTGGAGGGAGCTGCAGGCGGAAGAAGCCGACCCCCACTGTCTTCTGTGTCTGATGAAGGGGGCGCACGGTAATCCAGACCCCTCAGCGATTAATCTGATACAACCACCACGTGCACTTAGTCACCAAGGATTGTTCCGCCATGCTAGACTATGCAAAAAATCCACCTGGATTGCCCATTTAATGGAGGGGGACTTTGTTCAACTCCTCGACTTGCACTTGGAATTCCTTTGATACCTCCAAGCTGGGACAGAGCTGGTGTGGCCATCAGGTGCTGCTCTGGGTCCTCACTGTGCCACATCTTCACGGGGGGAGTTGGGTGTCAGTCTTGTGCTGTCAAACTTTCTTTTGGCTGGGAATTTTATCCCCCCACACTTTTATGAAGGGTTTTTTAATGAAGGTATTTTGTTTTGTATGCTATGCTTTCAAAGCCTTAATTGTCCTATCTAGCATTATCTGGCCTAGCACAGGCAAATGTAAATTTTATTATATTTGTCATATTTGTTTTAATAAACTTGAGTTTTGCTGCTAAAGAATCCTCCTCGTTGAGGGCAGAGCTTCTGTTTATGGCAAGTAGACATTAATTCAGCTTTGGGGAATGGTTTTGGTTTTCTGTGGAAATGTACTCGTAGATGCATCCATGAAGTGGAAGGTTCCGGACAGAAAGTGTTCACTCTGGTGTAGAAGGTGGGAAGTAAATCTTCGCCAGGACAAAAAGACAGCAGAGCCCGGGATCCACAGTTGGCCACTGCTCGCCAGGCGCCAGACTCTGGGGCAGAAGCCTCAGCCTCGGCCTCAGCGGGGTGCAGCCACACTCCCTGCCTGAGATACCATCACTGGAAAACAGTGTTCCAGCAGAGGTGTGAGCGCTGTGTCCACAGGCTGGGCCGTGGGGTGGGAACAACAGGTCCTCCGCACAAGGAAATACATGCAACAGATAAACCGTCCGCTCCCAGCGGCCCCCTCACGTTTGAGTGGTAAAATACCACATTAGGGGAAAATTGTATTTTCTCTTCCTAACGGAAAGGCTCCCTGGGGAGAGAACTTGTAGTCTTCCGGAGAAGGGCTTGCCCCTGCTGCCAGACCACCCGCCTCCCCGCAGTTTCTGCTTCAAGCCCACGGACCCGTCCCCTTCCTTCTCGCGCCCTCACCGACCACGACCTTCCCCTCCCCCTCCCCCTCCCCCTCTCTGATCGCATCCAGCCGCCTGCACATTTCCCTGTCGGGGCTCCTTCTGCTTTCGGCCCAGGCAGAGACGGTCACTAGGCTGGTGGTGACTCACCCGAAACTCTTCATAACTGATCACTATCTCTTCTTTAAGACCTTGTTGTGTGTGTAAATTATGTACCTGTTGTCCCGGGCCGTGGGATTTCATCATTTATTAACTGAGACAACCATGAGAGGTGTCGGCGATTCCTGGGTTCAGGCAACGCTCTCCAAGCCCTTCTTGGTCACTAATTAAGCTTACGCACGAGCATCGTGAATCTCAGCTCCAACCTCTGGAGAAGCAGCACCAGAAAAAGGTAAATGCTGTTCTCACCTCATCAGGGTCCTGGGGACAGCAGGACCCTGCTTCCTTCTGAGGAGGCGGGAGGATTTGGGGGAGCCATCTGGGCAAGAGCAGAGAGAAGTGGAGGGAGGAGCCCTAGCCGGAGCACACACAAGCTACCCCAAGACCTTGCACGCCCTACACAGACCTGCCTTCAACCCTGCCCCGTGCCTCCACCCCCAACCTGAGGACAAGAGTACCAGAGGCCCAGCATCCCCGCCCCTGCCGGCCTGTACCCTGCAGCACGGCAGAGTCATGGCCCAGAGCCACTTCGGCCCCAGCTCCACAGGCCCACGAATGGCCCCCAGTCCCCATCCAAGGGCCTCCTCATGCTCACCGCTGTGTACCATGACAAGGCTGACACACAACATGTCCGTGTCCCAGACGGACCCAGGTGTGAATCCTGGCTCTCCCCTTTGCCAGTTCTACGGCCTCGAGCAAGCCCTTGACCTCTTTAAGCCCCGACTTCTCGACGTGTAAAATACCTCTCAGTGCTGTGGTGAGAAAGAAGATAGTGCCGGTAAACAACAGGGCATGGTGCCTGCCGTGCAGTGGGCGCTCAGAAGTAGTACTCATTTCTTCTCCCTGCTGAACGCTTGCCCATCCTTCAAGGCCCCGTCAGTTGTCAGATGCTCTACGTCTTTCCTGAACCTCAAACGTCCCTGTTTCCTTTTGAGATGTATACTCAGACTACAGTTCTTATCCACAGCCTGCTCTGCGCCCCCTGGTAGCATATACGCCATGGGTCAAGCGCCTACGCGTCAGCATCCCTGGCCGCCCTCCGAGCCTCAAGTACACCAATGTCTTGCCTGCCACAGGACCCGTACGCGCGTTGTGCCCTCTGCCGGCCCTCCTCTTAACTATCCCCCTCAGCGAGGCCTTCCCCAGGGCCAGTCCAAAGTCGGCTGGTAGGTCATTCTCACTGCAGCAGGCCACCGTGCGACTGCGCCCGAGGAAGCCGTAGCCCCAACATCCAGCACAAGGCCTGGCACAAGGGAGGAGCTTGGAGCTAAGAGTCAGGGTTCCAACCGCTGTCTGCGTGTAGCACAGCGGGTGAGGCTTTGGGCCCGCCACGACCCACGAGTCTGGCCCGGGGAGGACTTGCGTCCTGCCTCCAGAACTTTCCCCGACGTCCTTGGACCTAAAACCACAGTGCCGCGGTCGGGGCTGACGCTCGGGGGTGTGAAGCCAAAGGAGAGAGCGAGGGCCGGGAGGGAGGGTCCGTCCCGCCCTGCTCCTCCGGGGTGCACTGCACACCTCCCTGCGCCAGGAGCCTGGGGACCGGCGCCCTTCCCGGGCCGCGGGCCGACAGCGCTGTACCAGCGACCCCTGCTGTCGCCCTTCCCCGCCGGCAGCGCACAGCGATCCGCCCACCCCTCGGCTTTGCTGCTCCTCCGTCCAGGCACGAGGCTGCTCTAAGCGCCGCCCGAGCCTTCGACCCGACGACGACTCCCGCGCACGCGCTCACACGCTCCTGCCAGCGTGCGTCCGGACGTGCCGCTCGGGTCGCCGGGGTGGGGGCTGGGGGGCGGCGACGGGGGGAGGGGGGCTGAGGGGGCCTGGGGTCGGGGGCGGGTTCCAGCGAGCCTCCCGCCACCAGGCGGCGGCGTCTGGAAACACACAGCTCGGACCCCGAGCCCCAGCCAGCCGCTCCAAGCCCACGAGGACGACCGGGCGCCTGCGCGCAGGCCACCGGAAATGACGGCAGCGGGAAGTGACGCCACCGGAAGGGGCGCTTGGGGGTGCGCCATGGCCCGGGAGGCGGTGGCGTGGCCGCCCGAGGAGACTCTGTCGCTCTGGAAACGGTAATGGGGTTGGCTGACTGCCAAGTTTCGGGGACCGGAGCGACTTTGGGGCTGCGGGGGCCCGGCCCGCGGACGAAAGGGCCTTCGGGAGTTGTAGTCTGCGGGGGTCAGCCGCGCTTGCTTCTGGCGCCGGGTCTCGGGGCGGTGGGAAGGTGGGGGCGATACCGTGGACGGGCTGTCCCCGAGGCCGGGCTTCCCGGGGAGGGCGGGCGAGACCGCGGAAGGCGTGTCCCCGGGAAGGCGGGGTGAGACCGCGGAGGGGTGTTCCCGGGGCCGGGCTCCCCGGGAA